GTGGACGCGGACGTGAACGTGGACATGGACGTGGACATGGACGTGGACATAGACGTGGACGTGGACGTGGACATGGACGTGGACGTGGACGTGGACGTGGACATGGACGTGGACGTGGACATGGACGTGGACGTGGACGTGGAGGATTTGGACGTGGACATGGACGTGGACGTGGACGTGGACGTGGACATGGTCGTGGACGTGGACGTGGACGTCGACGTGGATGTGGACATGGATGTGGATGTGGACGTGGACGTGGATGTGGATGTGGACATGGATGTGGACGTGGACGTGGACATGGATGTGGACGTGGACGTGGACGTGGACATGGACGTGGACATGGACGTGGACGTGGACATGGACGTGGACGTGGATGTGGACGTGGACGTGGACATGGACGTGGACGTGGACGTGGACGTGGAAGTGGACGTGGACGTGGACGTGGACGCGGACGTGAACGTGGACATGGACGTGGACATGGACGTGGACATAGACGTGGACGTGGACGTGGACATGGACGTGGACGTGGACGTGGACATGGACGTGGACGTGGACATGGACGTGGACGTGGACGTGGAGGATTTGGACGTCGACATGGACGTGGACGTGGACGTGGACGTGGACATGGTCGTGGACGTGGACGTGGACGTCGACGTGGACGTGGACATGGATGTGGATGTGGACGTGGACGTGGATGTGGATGTGGACATGGATGTGGACGTGGATGTGGACGTGGACATGGACGTGGACATGGATGTGGACGTGGACGTGGACATGGATGTGGACATGGACGTGGACGTGGACATGGACGCGGACATGGACGTGGACGTGGACGTGGACGTGGACATGGACGTGGAGGTGGGCGTGGACGTGGACAAAGACGTGGACATGGACGTGGACGTGGACATGGAGGTGGACGTGGACGTGGACGTGGAGGTGGACGTGGACATGGACGTGGACGTGGACGTGGACGTGGACGTGGATGTGGACATGGACGTGGACATGGACGTGGACGTGGACCTGGACGTGGACATGGACGTGGACGTGGACGTGGACGTGGACGTGGACATGGACGTGGACGTGGACGTGGACATGGACGTGGACGTGGACCTGGACGTGGACGTGGACGTGGACGTGGACATGGTCATGGACGTGGACGTGGACGTGGACATGGTCGTGGACGTGGACGTGGACGTGGACATGGACGTGGACGTGGACGTGGACGTGGACGTGGACGTGGACGTGGCCGTGGACGTAGACGTGGACGTGGACGTGGACGTGGACGTGGACGTGGACATGGTCGTAGACGTGGACGTGGACGTGGACGTGGACATGGACGTGGACGTGGACGTGGACATGGACGTGGACATGGACGTGGACGTGGACATGGACGTGGACGTGGACGTGGATGTGGACATGGACGTGGACATGGACGTGGACATGGACGTGGACTTGGACATGGACGTGGACATGGACGTGGACATGGACGTGGACGTGGACATGGACGTGGACGTGGACGTGGACGTGGACATGGACGTGGACGTGGACGTGGACGTGGACATGGACGTGGACGTGGACGTGGACATGGACGTGGACGTGGACGTGGACATGGACGTGGACATGGACGTGGACATGGACGTGGACGTGGACGTGGACGTGGACATGTGGACGTGGACGTGGAAGTGGACATGGACGTGGACGTGGACGTGGACGTGGACGTGGACATGGACGTGGACATGGACGTGGACGTGGACGTGGACGTGGACGTGGACGTGGACGTGGACGTGGACATGGACGTGGACGTGGACGTGGACGTGGACATGGACGTGGACGTGGACGTGGACATGGACGTGGACGTGGACGTGGAGGATTTGGACGTGGACATGGACGTGGACGTGGACGTGGACATGGTCGTGGACGTGGACGTGGACGTCGACGTGGACGAGGACATGGATGTGGATGTGGACGTGGACGTGGACCTGGACGTGGACGTGGACATGGATGTGGACATGGACGTGGACGTGGACATGGACGTGGACATGGACGTGGACGTGGACATGGACGTGGACATGGACGTGGACGTGGACGTGGACATGGACGTGGAGGTGGGCGTGGACGTGGACATAGACGTGGACATGGACGTGGACGTGGACATGGAGGTGGACGTGGACGTGGACGTGGAGGTGGACGTGGACATGGACGTGGACGTGGACGTGGACGTGGACGTGGACGTGGATGTGGACATGGACGTGGACATGGACGTGGACGTGGACCTGGACGTGGACATGGACGTGGACGTGGACGTGGACGTGGACGTGGACGTGGACGTGGACCTGGACGTGGACGTGGACGTGGACGTGGACGTGGACGTGGACATGGTCATGGACGTGGACGTGGACGTGGACGTGGACATGGTCGTGGACGTGGACGTGGACGTGGACATGGACGTGGACGTGGACGTGGACGTCGACGTGGACGTGGACGTGGACGTGGCCGTGGACGTAGACGTGGACGTGGACGTGGACGTGGAGGTGGACATGGTCGTAGACGTGGACGTGGACGTGGACGTGGACATGGACGTGGACGTGGACGTGGACATGGACGTGGACATGGACGTGGACGTGGACATGGACGTGGACGTGGACGTGGATGTGGACATGGACGTGGACGTGGACATGGAAGTGGACGTGGACGTGGACGTGGACATGGACGTGGACGTGGACGTGGAAGTGGACATGGACGTGGACGTGGACGTGGAAGTGGACGTGGACGTGGACATGGACGTGGACGTGGACGTGGACGTGGACGTAGACGTGGACGTGGACGTGGACGTGGACGTGGACATGGTCGTAGACGTGGACGTGGACGTGGACGTGGACGTGGACGTGGACATGGACGTGGACGTGGACGTGGACATGGACGTGGACATGGACGTGGACGTGGACATGGACGTGGACGTGGACGTGGATGTGGACTTGGACGTGGACATGGACGTCGACATGGACGTGGACGTGGACGTGGACGACGTGGACATGGACGTGGACATGGACGTGGACGTGGACATGGACGTGGACGTGGACGTGGACGTGGACGTGGACGTGGACATGGACGTGGACGTGGACGTGGACGTGGACATGGACGTGGACATGGACGTGGACGTGGACATGGACGTGGACATGGACGTGGACGTGGACGTGGACGTGGACATGGACGTGGACTTGGACATGGACGTGGACATGGACGTGGACATGGACGTGGACGTGGACATGGACGTGGACGTGGACGTGGACGTGGACGTGGACGTGGACGTGGACATGGACGTGGACGTGGACGTGGACGTGGACATGGACGTGGACGTGGACGTGGACGTAGACATGGACGTGGACGTGGACGTGGACATGGACGTGGACATGGACGTGGACATGGACGTGGACGTGGACGTGGACGTGGACATAGACGTGGACGTGGACGTGGAAGTGGACATGGACGTGGACGTGGACGTGGAAGTGGACGTGGACGTGGACATGGACGTGGACGTGGATGTGGACGTGGACGTGGACGTAGACGTGGACGTGGACGTGGACGTGGACGTGGACGTGGACATGGTCGTAGACGTGGACGTGGACGTGGACGTGGACGTGGACATGGACGTGGACGTGGACGTGGACATGGACGTGGACATGGACGTGGACGTGGACATGGACGTGGACGTGGACGTGGATGTGGACTTGGACGTGGACATGGACGTGGACATGGACGTGGACGTGGACGTGGACGACGTGGACATGGACGTGGACATGGACGTGGACGTGGACATGGACGTGGACGTGGACGTGGACGTGGACGTGGACATGGACGTGGACGTGGACGTGGACATGGACATGGACGTGGACATGGACGTGGACGTGGACATGGACGTGGACATGGACGTGGACGTGGACGTGGACGTGGACATGTACGTGGACGTGGACGTGGACGTGGACATGGACGTGGACGTGGACGTGGACATGGACGTGGACATGGACGTGGACATGGACGTGGACGTCGACGTGGACGTGGACATGGACGTGGACGTGGACGTGGAAGTGGACATGGACGTGGACGTGGAAGTGGACGTGGACGTGGACATGGACGCGGACGTGGACATGGATGTGGACATGGACATGGACGTGGACGTGGACGTGGACATGGACGTGGACATGGACGTGGACGTGGACGTGGACGTAGACATGGACGTGGACATGGACGTGGACATAGACGTGGACGTGGACGTGGACATGGACGTGGACGTGAACGTGGACGTCGACATGGACGTGGACGTGGACGTGGACATGGACGTGGACGTGGACGTGGACGTGGACGTGGACGTGGACGTGGACGTGGACGTGGACGTGGACATGGACGTGGACGTGGACGTGGACGTGGACATGGTCGTGGACGTGGACGTGGACGTCAACGTGGACGTGGACATGGATGTGGACGTGGACGTGGACCTGGACGTGGACGTGGACATGGACGTGGACATGGACGTGGACGTGGACATGGACGTGGACATGGACGTGGACGTCGACGTAGACGTGGACGTGGACATGGACGTGGAGGTGGACGTGGACGTGGACATAGACGTGGACATGGACGTGGACGTGGACATGGAGGTGGATGTGAAACAATGAGAAGAGGAATGAGAATGACTAAGTCAGAAATTGGTACAAATAACAAACCCTAGGAATCTGTACCCCATATGTGCTACCCCACTACAGCCTACAAACATGTATCAGCTATAATGTTCTGACACACCCCCATAGGCAAAGTGGGGGAGAACAAGGGGTCACAAGACCTGTCAAGCAAAGCAAAGCAAGCTCAGGGTGGATCACAAAGTCACCACACAGTCCGAGCACAAGAGCAGGGCCAGAGGCCAGTTCACATGCAGGAGTACAGACATATATATATTACTAAACAAGCAAGAGCAGGTATATATATATATCACAGTACAAGTGAAGTCAGGAAGAGAGCAAGTGAGGCAAGACAGGCACAAGACCCAGCTGGGTACAGAAGCGCTGATGGTCACAAGGCGCGAGTGCCTTGGTGAACACATCAGCAGTGTTGGCCTCAGAGGCCACGTACGCAAGTCGCAGCTGACCACGCTGCTGCAGCTCACGAGCAAGGAAGTAGCGGAGAGCAATGTGCTTCGTTCTGTGCTCCAGACGCTGCTCTCGACACAAGGCCAGCATGGCCTTGTTGTCTACGTACAGCACTGGAGGAGAACGAGGCGGCTCTCCAAGGTCAGTCAGCAGGTAGGTGAGCCAGCGAAGCTCCTGTGCAGCCATGGCCCCGGCGTAGATCTCAGCCTCACAACTGGAGCCGAGAACCGAAGACGAGCGAGTAGACCGCCACGAGACAGAGCCGGAACCAAGGCTGAAGGTGTAACCCTGTGACGACCGCTGCGTAGCCTGGTCGTCAGCCCAAGAAGCGTCCGCGTGGCCCGTAAGGACCACTGGACTCCGCCCTCCAAGCACTAGCCCCATGCCCGACGTACTGCACAGGTAGCGCAATACCCTCTTCACTGCAGCCATGTGCTCAGGTCGGTGTCTCCCAGGAGCAACATAGCGTGCAAGGATGCTCAGAGGGTATGCAAGGTCAGGTCGTGTGCAGGTCATCAGGTACATGAGGCAGCCAAGAAGCTCTGCATACGGGCCACTCGACTCTACGGACTCATCCGAAGGCAGAGCTGAGAGCGAGTGGCGAGTAGGCAGAGGAGTGGCCTGAGGCGAGGAGTACGTGAAGCCGAAGCGCTGAAGGACCTGCTGCACCATGTGTGACTGAGTCAGGGTAATGGTGCGGCGTGCTCTGTCCCGAGTGATCTGCAAGCCAAGGTAGCTGCGCAGTTCACCCAGGTCTGTGCACGTGTGTCTCTTCAGCAGCTCGGACTTCACGTAGGCGAGTCCAGCAGTGTCCGCTGTGGCAAAGACCAAGTCGTCGACGTACACGAGGATGTAGAACGGCGGCAAGGAAGTGTCGGTGCGAAGAAACAGCGACGGGTCAGCAGTGGAAGGAGCAAACCCAAGAGCCGCAAGCGTAGTCCTCAGTGTGTCGTGCCACTCACGCGGTGCCTGGCGGAGACCGTAGACTGGCCGTCGGAGGCTCCACTGGGTGCCAGGAGGGAAAGTCCCAGTGAAGCCAGGCGGACGGCGCAGCCAGATCTCCTCGTGCAGGCTACCCTGCAGGAACGCAGTGCTGAAGTCGAGAGAGTGAAGCTCGTAGTCGCGCTGAGCGGCAACGTGCAGCAGCACCCGAAGAGTAGTCATCTTCGGGGTGGGAGAGAAGGTCTGAAAGTAGTCAACTCCCTGCCGCTGACTGAAGCCACGAGCGACGTAACGCGCCTTGAAGACAGGCGGAGAGCCCGGCGGCCGCTTCACCCTGAAGATCCACATGCCACTGACGATGTTCGCCCCAGGAGGGGGAACTGCGTCAACGTAGGTGCCTGTGGACTTCCAGGAAGCCATCTCTGCATCCATAGCTGCCTGCCACTGAGAGGAGTAGGGACCCTCTACAGCCTCCGCGTAAGAACGCGGAGTCGGGATGTCTAGTGCATCCGGATCTCCCTCAGGGGCAAGCAGTACAGACGCGAGATGAGGTGAAGCAGCCGCTAGACACTGTAACTCCTCCTGCCTGTCCTCTAGGACGTCCGTGCCAAGAGCACACTCACCCCCGACAGACGGAGGACAGACAGACGCAGACTCAGCAACAAGACTAGCAGCGTAGTCGAGACGACAGCGAGCAGCAAAGTCGACGAGCTCAGCGACTAGAGCAGACGCAGCAGTGGACTCAAAAGAGGGGTCAGTGACGACAGTAGCAAGCAGACGCGTGATAGTAGGACTGGCAGCACGAAGAGAGTCCGACTCTGGGTCGGCAAGCGCAGGAAGAGAGGACTCAGGAGGAGAAGGCAAAGGGGCACGCAGAGGAGCAGTGGACGGACGCAAAGACATCTGGTGCGTGCCAGGGACAGGAGGAGGACGCTGACGCGAACCGCGACCAGTAGCGCGAGCAGGACGAACAGGCGACGCAGGACGAGACGCAGGCTCACGACGCTCAGCAAGACCTCCAGTAGGACCAGTGTAAGGAGAGGGAGCAGGTAGCGGAGAGGAAGGCTCAAGCAGGGACTGCGACTGGACAGGCGGTGGACTCTCTACCGGAGGAGAAAGACCAAGAACCTGCTGCAGTAGCGGAACGAAGTACGGTCGAGGCCGCTCAGCAGCTCCAGGCGCAGCTAGGGACAGCTCCAGCACCCTCAAGCGACAGCACCAGGGCCACCAACTCCTCCAGCAGCAGGACCAACAGCAGCAGTCTCAGCACCAACACCCTGAGCAGCGCCAGCTCCAAGAGGACCCGCAGGCCCAGCAGCTCTGGGACCGGCAGCACCAGCAACCTCGTCAGTCGAAGAAGGTCCAGCTCCAGCTCCAGCAGCACCCCCAGACTCAGCAGCACGCCTCCAACGACGAGCGAACCACTCGCGCAGGCTCCTGTGGAGAGAGAGGCTCCCGGGGAGGCTGAGCAGCAGGAGAAACCCCAGGCGCAGTAGCTCCAGACGCAGCACCCCCAGGCTCAGCAGCTCCAGACACAGCACCCCCAGGCGCAGCAGCTCCCAACTCAGCACCCCCAGGCTCAGCAGCTCTCGACTCAGCACCCCCAGACCCAGCACCTCTAGTGACAGCACCCCCCGGCGCAGCACTCCTAGGCTCCGCACCCTCCGCACTAGCACCCCCAGGCTCAGGACCCCCAGCAGCAGCTCCTCCAGGCTCAGCACCCCCGCGGACAGCACCAGAGTCACCAGTAACCTCGACCGGGTCAACGGCGTCTACCTGGGACACACCTGAGGGAGCAGGAACCTGAGGGGGAAGGGGGTCTACCGGGGGGGGAACGGCACAAGGAAGTCCGTGGGAGGGGGGAGGGAAGGGGTGCGGTAGGGGAAGAGACGGTAGAAGGGGACCGACTCGTCGAACGTGACGTCCTGGGAGGACAGAACACGACGAGAGGAGGGGTGGTAGAACTGCCACCCTGGGGCGTCAGTGGGGAAGCCAAGGAAGACACAGGGAGCAGCACGAGGGGACAGCTTGTCCGCAGACAAGTCGCGGACAAACGCCCGAGATCCCCAGACACGAAACACAGACGCATCGCCAACCTTCCCCGTCCACAGCAAGGCTGGGGACATCGCAGGCCTAGAGACCCGCGGGTGAAGGTTGAGCTGATGCGCCGCGTACCTCACCGCAAACGGCCACAGAAAATGGGGGGCAGCCGCATGCATCATGGACGTACGAGCGACATCCATGACCATGCCAATGCGGCGCTCAGCAATCCCATTTTGCTGAGGTGAGTCCGGAAGTGTGAAGGTCTGGCGGATCCCCCGTGCACGACAGTAGTCTCGCAGAAGGCGAGAGGAGAACTCTCCGCCTCTGTCCGAGTGCAGACGCAGAACAGGAAAGTCAGAGCCGAAGCTCTTCCTGAGCTGGAGACGAGCCTCGCGGATCCAGTCGATCAGCACCTCAGTGACAGCACCCTTGCTGCGCAAGGGGAGGACTGTGGTGTAACGCGAGTAGTCGTCAACCACCAACAGGAAGTAGCGCTCGTAACCCTGCCCACGGACGGGGGCCGGGCCCCACACATCCATGTGAAGCGTCTGCAGCGGAGCCTCTTTCGGGGGGAAGTGGGAAGAGTGAGGAGTAGCCCGGAGGCGACCCTCGACACAGGGGACACAGGAAGGCCCTGGCCCGGGGGGGGGAGGAGGGAGAGACCGGGGAAGACCAGAGACAAGGACACGGGAAGCCATGCTCCGAAGACGAGCCAAGGAGGGGTGGCCTAGACGGTGGTGCCACAGGAGAGTCTCGTGAGACAGGAGGCGACAGGAACAGGGGGCAGACTCAGGACCTGACCGGGACGCAGCAGCAAACACCTGACCTGACGCAGCTACCTGACCAGACACAGGGACAGGAGGAGACGAAGTGGTCAGGGTGTAGAGACTCGACCCCGGCCGACGCGAAAAGGTGGCCAGGTGTCGGCCTGTGTCTGCGTCCGTGCAGTGGGTCACCCGCCGCCTCGCAGGAGTGAACTGGTGAACCCCCGCATCCTGTAGGTCCGCACCACTCACCAAGTTCGTAAAGAACGAGGGAAGGTACAGACCAGACAGGGTGCCCGAAGGGGCAGCCGGACACGGGAGGACAGTGGAGAAGTGAGGACAGGACAGGACCCCCAGAGGGGTCAGCAAGGGAGACCGCAACCGGTCGGCCAAGTGGCGTGAGGGTAGTGGCGGTCTCGAAAGAAGGAGCGAGAAGCCCCAGAGTCAAGTGTGAAAGTGAGGGAGGACGAGGGCGACGCAGTACCTGAGAGCGCAGTCTCACCAGCACCTGAGAGCACAGTCTCACTAGTACCTGAGAGCGCAGACGCACTGGCACCTAGAGCAGGCAGCCTCACAAGTACCTAGGGCAGCAGTACCAATGCCCGGTCGGGCTGGAAACACCGGTAACCCTCATTCTCCTCACTATAAGTCACAGCATACATAGCAGAAAGGATAGCATCAAAATCAAGATCAAAGATCGCTACACCAGCCCTAAGGAGCTCATACCAGCAAGGGATCTCACTAGCCCCGGGGAACTGCTGACGCCAAGCGTCCGTCAGGCGGCCAAAGCAGCGCTGGGTGGAGTGGGCACCCCCACACTGCTCACCCGCGCGGTCGCGGCGGAACGAAGAACGTAGGTGCAGGGACCAGTACCCCCACCCCTCTGACGCGCAGTGTACCACTCACGAAGCTGCTGAGGCGGAGGGATGTCCCGCGAACGCTGCTGCTGCTGCCGCTGCAAGCGCTGGCCACCACCACCGCCGCTCCGCTGCTGGGTACCACCACGACCAGCTCCACCTCTCCACCACCACCGCCTCCTCCGCCGCCGCCCTCCACCGCCTCCACCTCCACCGCCTCCACCTCCACCGCCTCCACTCCCGCGCTGCTCCACCACCAACGGTGCACCACCACCACCGTCTCCGCCGCTGCTGCCACCACCACCACCACCACTACCACTACTCCCGCCGCCACCCCACTCCCTCCGCCGCCTACCGCCGCCACCGCCACCGCCCCCTCCAGCTCCGCCCGCGCCCTTGCCCCCCTTGCCCTTGCCAGAGCGACGTA